CTACTACACTGCCAGTGGGAATGCAGACTGGTGCAGCCGCTATGAAAAACACTATGGTGTTACCTCAAAAAATTAAAAATTGAACTTCCATTTGACCCAGTGATCCCACTTCTAGGAATATACCCTAAGAAGCCTGAAACACCAATCAGAAAGAATATATGTACCCCATGTTCATAGCAGCACTATTTATAATAGCGAAGATCTGGAAACAGCCCAAGTGTCCATCAGAAGACGAATGCATAAAAAAAGCTGTGGTATATATACACAATGGAGTACTATGCAGCTGTAAGAAAGAAAGATCTCTTATCCTTTGAGACGACATGGAGGGACCTAGAGAGTATTATCCTAAGCGAAACAAGCCAAGCAGAGGAAGACAAAACTGTATCACATGATCTCACTTATTTGTGTAATATAATGAACATAACAGTCTGAGGAACAGGGTAGACCTACAGACGTGGAAGTAGGGTACAGACTGACAACCCTCAGAAGAGGCAGGGGAGGAGGGAAGAGGTAAACCACAGAACTTATATGTATGTACGCAAAACTGATGGACATTGACAACAAAGCTGGGGTCGGGGTGAGGGTGACTGGGGAGGAGGGTGTCAATGGGGAAAAAAGGAGAAACATCTGTAACAAAAGTAAATTAATAATAAATAAATAAATAATAATAAAAATATAAACTATCAAGTCATAAAAAGACATGGAGGAATCTCAAATGTATATTACTGAGTGAAAGAAACCAATCTGAAAAGGCTATCTAGTGCATGATTCCAACTGTAGGACAATCTGGAAAAAAAAAAACTATAGAGAAAATAAAAGTCATTGGTTACCAAAGGTTGGGGATGGGAGACATGAATATGCAAAGCACAGAGGATCTTTAGGACACTAAAAATACTCTGTACTATATTATAATAATGGGTACATGTCATTATGTATCTGTCAAACCCACAGAACTATGGAAATTATGATGTGTCAAAGTAGGTTCATCCTTCACAAAAAAATGTACTATTCTGGTGAGTGGTGTTGATAATGGGGGGAGGCTATGTATGTGTGAGGGCCACGGGTATTTGGGAAATCTCTGTACCTTCCTCTCAATTTTGTGCTAAACCTAAAACTGCTCTAAAAAGAAAAAAGTATTTTAAAAAAACTCACATGAACCCCTCAGGTATTTATTTCTTTACCTTGTAGAGGTTAATTTTCCTGAAAATCTTCCTATCTGTGTTCTATCGTTAATATTTCAAATTTCTTCTTTGCAGGACCCACTATCTGGATGATAAGTTTTCACATCAGTATTGGTAGTTGTGAAGAATGAGACTGTGAAGAATGAGACTGTGATTTGAACTTTTTGTGTCTTATAATTCTGTGATAGTTACATTTTTTACAAGGTATTGCTTTTGTACTAAAAAAAAAAATCGACAAGCTCAGTATTTTTGAAATTTGAAAAGATCTGCATAAATTAGAGGACACATACTCATTACTTTTATATAGAATGGTAAAGGTTTTTTTGCTTGTTATTTTTAAGAGTCGACTGAAGGGAAGGGAAAACATTCCGGGCCAGATGTCCATTCATGTCATTAAGGTACAGGACAGCAGGAGGTGGGGCTGTCTTGCTGTTATTTCTTTGTCTCAAGTTTGTTGGTCTTGCCTTCTCCCAAGATTGTCAATTGTTGTGTTGTGAGATGTGTGTGTGTGTGTGTGTGTGTGTGTGTGTGTGTGTGTGTCTTCCCTAGCATGGAGTTGTAGTAAGTGCTCAAAGATATCTTTGATTCATTCATTAAGACAAAAAGTGTTTTCCCTTGAGACATCCAGATAATCTAAGATATTGACCAATTTTTTTTTTAATGCCAAAGAAAAGTTTCTTTTAGCAATTATGAAGCCAACACTCAGAATGCCTCTCTTGACCCAGCCTTGGTGAATATTCCTCTTACAGAACAAAGACAGCCCTTTCAGATCAAAGAACCCTGTTCATTTTTAAACAAAGAATTTTCACTTTGTTTTCTCACACTTAAAAATAGAATTGCCCTTCAGACACAGCTCATTTGGAGGCCAGCAGTTGATAACATTCTTTGTTTGAAATCTGAATAAAAGAAACCCAGATTCTGGTTCATTTCCTATCTCCATCCAGCAGTATCAGGAATTCTAAAGTACCAAGGAAGACGTTGGCCAACTGCCATTGTAAAGCCTGCTGGGAGTCAGCTTCCTAAAAGGATGGATGACCCTTACTTCCCAAGTGCTGCTGGAACATTGGTGACAATCCAGGAAGGGAGAAGGAGCCGCAGGCAGAGGGAGCCTCGATGGCAAAGATGTTCTCCCTCGTGGGTTTAAAAGTTCAAGAGTTGGTGCTTTTCTCATTTCTAAGGAAGCAGCCTTTGCTCCAGGCAAATGGTTTGTTTTCTGAGCTTGGACTTGCACGGGTCCAATCCCAGGAGAAGGAACCTCCCCCCTACATTCCCAGTAGCTTAATAAATTGGTTATTCTCAAAGTCTTTTGGGTCCGTTAGGGTACAACTTTTTTGTTTTGTTTTGTTTTTTAAAGATATTTTATTTTATTTTTTTTTTTTTTATTTTTTTTTTATCCTCACCCGAGGATATTTTTCCATTTTTTGTACAGATAGAGTGGGAGGGAGAGAGAGGAAGGGAGAGAGAGAGAAACATCGACGTGAAGGGAAACATCGAGTGGCTGCCACCCGCACGACCAACCAGGGCCGGGGACAAACTGCAACCGAAGTACGTGCCCTTAGCGGGAACCGAACCCGGGTCTCTCCAGACCGCAGGCCGACGCTCTAACCGCTGAGCCTAACTGGCCAGGGCATGTTTTTTAAAGATATTTTAAAAAGAAAGCATTTAGTTATTTCAACATGACACTGAGCCAAGCCATGCCATTCTTTTCTAATGGCTCTGCTTTTTAGAGGAGGGAATGGGAATGTTCTTGCAGTGTGTGTCTACCAACTGACCTCCTGGCTGCGAGCCCCCGGACGTGTTTTTATAATAAAAATAGTAATAATAATAACAGCCACCATTAAGGTAGCACTTACTGTATGCCAGGCACTGGGCTAAGTACTTTATATTCATCTCATTTAATCCTTGCAACAACTTTGCATTGTAAGTGCTGCTATGTTATCCCCATATTACAGTAAAGAAAGCTGAGATTCAGAGAGGTTAAGTGACTTACCCAAAGTCACATGACTGATTAACCATTGACACAGAATCCAACCTGGGATGGGCCTATTCCAATGAGTATGAGTGGTGTCCTTACAAGAGGTGGGAAATTTGGACACACACAGGGGCGCACCATGTGAAGACAGACACACAGGAGAAACACTGTCACGACAGACAGAGACTGGAGAGATGGCCAAGGACTGCCAGCACCCACCGGAGCTAGGAGCCCGGCATGGAGCAGAGTCTCCCTGAGAGTTTTCAGAAGGACCGAGTCCTGCTGACACCTTGATTTCAGACCCATCATTTACAGGAATGTGAGCGAACACACATCTGTTATCTGAGCCACCCAGTTTGTGGCACCTTATCACAGCTGCCTTAGGGAACTAATGCACAGGGTCCAGCTTGGGAAGATGTCAGTGTGAGGAGAGGTGCCCCCATCCTCCAGATGGCCCACCAGCTGGGCGGCCTGCTGTGAGCAGAAGTACCCGCTGCCCTCCCAGTCCAGTGCGGTGATTGGTGGAGGTGAGGACAGGGGCGGAACCACTCAGTTCAGCCCCGATGGTGTGCTGTTCCAGACCAGCATGTTGCCCCTGTTTTATTGGCCATCACTGCCATGGCAGCCAAAGGAGCTACGGCAGAGCTCCTGCGGGGCTGAGAGTGTCCGAGGACCCACACAGCCCACGGTGTTGCTGGGCACAGGGTGGCGGCAAAACATGTTTCTGTGTGCTGGGGCTGTGGCAGCCCACTGTCCCCAGGGAAGCGGGAGCCGCTGACCCATGCCCGACACTCACGACTACTGGGCCCATGTGTGGGGTGTGGGTACACAGGGCAGAGGCGGGTGTCAGGTTGAGGAGAGACCAGAAGGCAGCAGAAACGGAACCGGGACGCCACAGGGCAGGATGGGAGGTGTGTTCAGAACCAACAGAAATGAAGAGAAAATAGAATCTGAGAAGCCAGACCTGGCAAGGAAAAGTACCAGGGCACCCCCCCACCCCCCCCAGGAAGGGGAATTTCAAGGCAGCAGGTGAGTGTGTGGGACAAGGGGCCCCTTCCTCCTGGGGCACCTGCCAAGGCAGGGGAAGCAGGGAGCTGCTTGGTGATGCATCTCAGAACAGAGGAAGGGACAGACACTTTAGCATCACAGCGCCCTGGAAAGACTCTACGAGGAGGTCGAGCTCAGCCGTGTGAAATGCCTGATGGTCTTGTAGACTTCCTTCCCCTGCGGCCAGCGCCCTCCTCCGAACCTGGGTCCCAATCCCATCCAGAGCAGCACCTGATGGCTCCGAATGACTGAAAATCACGTCCGAGAACAAGGATAGTAGGTGGGTTAGGCAAAATTTCAGTTTCTTAAAGGACCAAGGGGCTGTCTGGGGGGGAGGAGGAGAGGGGGTTGGAAGGGGTCAAGGCCAAGGGAGAGAAAGAAAGAGGCTACAAAGCAAGGGCCCTGCCCAGGAGGAGGGCGGCTGAGAGCTCAGCCTGGTGACAGTTGGAGGTGCAGACGCGTGAGGAGAGCAGTAGGGTCCGCTCCTGGAGCTCCACGACCAGGGGACACTGTGGGGTGAAAAACCACAAATTGTGGCAAAGCCTTGCTTAGAACCTTCTTCTGAATCGGTGTGTAATACATCGGCTCACCGTGAGGCTGGGCAGTAACAGGTTGTCACCGTCACTGCCAACGGTTGTGCTGTCCCGATCCGGGGCAGCTCCACCTGCCTTGCAGGGCCCTGTCTAGGAGGGCAGGGAGCTACAGACAGTATAATAACGAGGAAGGCTTTCTTGAAGACTCCTGTACACCTTCACAGATTCCCCCTGGGGTAGGCTGGGCCCTCAGAAGGGTCAGCTTACCTCCCATGCCTGACACGCTGGTCCCACCGGAATCATTCGGATGTGGAGTTGAAGGCGGATCATAGCCGATCACCAAGTCAATGGTGGCCTGGGTGGAAACAGAGCATTGCAGACAGAATCAGTGCAGGGCCCTGGAATGCTATGGACCCAGGGCAAACAATTCAGCAGGAGTAAAAGTTCTAGAAGGGGTGAGCAGGGGGGTGGGAAAGTGAGAAGAGAAAGAGGGAAGGATGGCACACTGCACGGTGTACAGCTTCGCACACGTGAGCCCGGCTGCGTGGGAAAGCTGGGAAGGAATTACCTGCCACAGGCTGCCAGCTGACTCATTGCTGAGGGGCAACCTCGTGAACTGGAAGAACGTTGTGACAGGCAAGCATGAACTTGTGCTTAGCCTCCGTCCTAGATTGGAGATGGCCTCAATGACAGAATTACCGTTACAAAGGCCCCTTGTACATGATTACACTATTTGTTTGCTCACTGACTTCTTGAATTGCTAAAATTTATTTTCATGCTGCTCTCTAAAAAAAACTTTAAGTGACTAATAAAAGATTATATAACAATGTGATTCAGAAAATAGAATAAAAAAGGATTCAAGTTTGATTAAAGAGGAAATAAATAAGCAAATCTTGAAGTTTGAGAAAATTGCCTTTCGCACAAAATGTGATCTGAAGATGGCTAGAAGCCAATGCAAAATTGGAGAACTGCAAGGGCTATGTAACTTTCATTCTCAGAAAGAAAGAAAGAAGTGTGCTACTTCCTTGTAAGAGATAACATATTTCCTGCTTTTAAAACCTGAGATAAATTTCTCATATGAGGCATTACTTTTAGGAAGAGTTTCCTATACTTTTCTATTTCATGAACCTAAAAATTTCAAAAAAGTTACTGGAGGAGTTACCATAGGGATGTGACACCTGCCCACAACTATTATCAACCAAAGAGAAATAAATTTTAACAGCAACAACAAAGAAATACAAACCTCAAAATAAAAGAATTCTTGGCAAATAAAAATGCATACACACACACCCCACACCCAGGTTACCAGTTAAAATACAGACAAAATATTTAGGACATACTTATACTAAAAAAAAAAATATATATTCACTGTTTATCTAAAATTCAAATGTAAAAGGGCATCCTATACTTTCATTTGCTGCTTTGCTATATCTGGTTCTCTCTCTCTTCCTCCCTCCCTCCCTCCCTTGTTTTTTCCACCTGTCTGCTCACCAGTGAAAACCCCCTCATTGATCAGCACATTCTGTGGCTAACTTAGGAACTATGCTCTGGGAGACATGGGACAGGATTATAAATGATGCTTTCAACAGTTCCATGCAAATGAAGAATCATAGGAGGAGCATCTAAAGACCCAGGCCACAATGGGAAGACCAAATGCAGGGCACTGAGGGGCTCAGCAGCTAAACTTAATCGCAGAATCAAACTTTTAAAACCTAGAAGAGTACAGGAATGACTCAGCCTCTGGGTCAGTGGCTTCCCAATAACCGCAGGATCCCCAGAGGTGTTCCGGGACCTCTGACAGGAATGAAGGATACCAGAGGGGCAGGACCTTGGTCTTTCTACGATTCAGTCACAGTTCTTCCATTGCAGGGTTCTCATATGCCTTTTTCCGTGCTTAAAAAAAAAGGCAGCCAGAAAGATCACTGACTTGTATCATGTTTCCTAAGCATCATTTCAGTCAAGTTTGGGTAGTGGATGATAGCCGACATTCTGAATGTACATTTTATGGTTAGAATGCTCATTCACAGGAAACCTAGACATTTTAGAGACTAGGTCAGCAAAATGGACATTCCTAATGGATGTTGAAAAGCCCAACCTATATTCTTGTCTACAGGGATGGCCTCTTTTAGTATAAAATTTTCTCCCTTTGCTCAGGGTCCCAAGCAAAATAAATTGATTGGAAAATGAAGGCATCAGAGGTTAATGACATAAGAATGGTAGCTTTATGAAAGCTTGTTAACAATCATATGAAATCTGAGAGCTGAGATACTTGAGTCCATTTTTTAAAGCACACTTGAGGAAGAGAATTCTGGTCTTACGTCAGACAATATCAACAAGGACTTATTTAGAGAGGCTGTGATCAGCTGCCAATGCAATAATAAAGATTGTGCTACTAACATTTTTGATACTTCAAGATAATGTTAATAAATTACCTTCTATAGAATGTTTCAAAGAGTTTCTGATACTCAGAGCTATGCTAACCACACAAATGTTAACACTAAAGTGAGCATACACGGAGTTATGCCACGAGCGGATCCCCACTGGCTCTGTAGCACTCTATAGCATCCTGTCGTAGAAAATCAAGTTTATCTCATTTGCTAGTTCTGTGATTGAGAGTATAGGATAAGGCCATATTATTTGCTAATGGACTAGTTTATCTCAAAATCAGTAGAGGGGTGTGTGTGTGTGTGTGTGTGTGTGTGTGTGTAGTGAGCTAATAATTTCACACTCTTTTCTTAATAAACTTTTGCTTGACCACCTCACTTCAAAGCCATTCAGTGAGAGGGAAAATGCTCACCCCAGTCTCTTGCCCCCTTTCGTTCAGCAGGGAGATCAGTTTGTATGGCAGCGATCTGCTCTGGTCGCCGGTCAGGTCCTTCAGGGATACAGTGGCTGTACCAATTAATCTGCAGAGGAAATGAGAAACAGTCTCCTAAGTAAGAGGCATGCTTCCATATACTTACCAGACTTCCCAATTCCCTTCCTATGCACCTGTTATCAATAAAATCACTCATAATGAAACACGGGCCATTTTGCTTTCACCCTAGTAAGGTATTTTGGCAGTCAAGAGTACGTATCAGCCATCACTTCTCTATAACAAGCAATCGTTTCAAGAGTCTACTATGGTGCCTATAAAATATCAAGTCATGATGAAATAAATGGATGAGAGGCAAAAACTGAATTCAGTCCACCCCCCTACCCTATTCCAGGAAGAGAGAAAAGCAAGATAAGATTCAAGCATTCCTCTGTAATGAAAATTTAAAAGGACCCATAAAACATTGCCCACTGTAAAAGCATCCCCCCAAGCAGACACTGAAGTGTAAATAGGTTGCTAGTTTGCTGATGGAGCTACCTTGCTCAACCCCATGTACTTGAGAGCAGCATTCAAAAGTTGGATGTTTGTGTTTCTCTTTCTTTCTGGGCAGAGGATTATATTCACCCTCGGGCACCCATCTACCTGTGAGCACACTTAACACTGGTGCCCAGGTGTCCCTGCTCGCTGACTGAAGCTCCCTAATGGCAGGAATTGTTGCCCGGTCTGTTCACTACTCTAACTCCAGTGCCAGGAACATGGTGCATTTCTTAATAAATATTAATTGAATGAAGAAAAGAATTAAATAAGTCTACATATATTGAGAATAAGACCCAAAACATTTTTTGTAGTTAGGGTACATTATCACAAAAATGTATAGAATACACATCCCCAGGAAGTTAGTCAATATAAAAATGTAACCCATAAACTAGTCTGTAAATTGGGGGTTATAACACACAGCATGATTTGAGACTGGGTGAACTGAAAAAGTTCCCTTTGTGAAATGTGATCATAAAGCAAAGAGAGCCCAGTATGGACACCAAAAGTAGAAAAGAAAAATAGTAAGAACTCTATTTTCTTTTTCTTTATTGATTCTAGAGAGAGAGGAAGAGAGAGAAACATTGATGAGAGTGAACATCAATCGGCTGCCTCCCGTAAGCCCCCAACTGGGGATCAGCCTGCAACCTGGGCATGTGTCCTGACTGGGAATCAAAATGGTCATGGTGCATGGGTCAACACTGAGCCACACAGGCCGGGCAAGAATTTTAAAATTTTATTTACTTACACCTGACCTACATTTGCAGCAACCTGTACTAGTAAGTAGCAGACATGATAGCATGGAATATCACTAGCATAAATATAGAACACTAAGTATCAAGACTTCAAAGTGAGAGAAGAGACTCCTTACAGTAAAAGACTCAGGGTGAAAAAACTGTAGTTGAGTGTAACACATAACTCTGGGCTTTCCAGCAAAATTAATACTCAGAAAAGTTCATCTTATGGAGAAATACTCATTTTATTTTAAAATGTAGTACATTTTCTTGCCCTGGCCAGTTTGGCTCAGTGGTTAGAGTGTCAGCCTGTGGACTGAAGGGTCTTGGGGTTGACTCCCAGTCAAGGGTACATACCTGGGTTGCAGGTTCAATCCCCAGCCTTGGTTGAGTCCTACAGGAGGCAACCAATTGATGTGTCTCTCTCACAGTGATGTTTTGCTCTTTCTCACCACCTTTCCACTCTACCTTAAAAAAAAATCAATGTAAAAATATCCCCAGGAGAGAGGATTAACAAAAAATAAGTATAAATAAATAAAATGTAATACACTTTCCTTAAAAATCAGGAAATGAAAGTTGATGTTAACCCAGGCACATAATTTTTGAACTGACATGTATCTGTATTCTCCTCCCCCACTCAGATCTCAGAAATAGGACTAGATTGTAGATCTGGTGTGGATTTGGGGGTGGTTGAGAGATGGACGTTTTATAACCTAGTGTCAATGCATTCTCAACCTTGTGTTAATGCATTCTTGGAAACCTGGCCAGCCCAGGTGCATTGAGTGCTTCATTTGCATGTGAATAAGGGTTTGTTATCTTTTGGCCTCAAAGTCTCTTTCTGTAAAAAGCAAGAGACAAAGCTAGAGTGTATAGTTTTCAGAGACGCCATCTCAAGAAAATAATTTACATAAATCCACTTATAACCTGGGGGTACCAATCTACAAATAAATGGGACTGCGTCCAAAGATCTGGAACATTTTCTCCCTTGCAAAGCTCCCCCTCACTCCAAGCAGCATGTGCTTGTAGTTTCATTGCGTTGCACTGATCCCAGCAGGCCAAGAGACGGCAATCTGCGGTCTGCCACCTGACCCCATACTTCCAGTGTGACTCAGCAATATTAATGCTATTAATTAATATTATATCACACAAGACCAGAATGTTGCTATGGCACCCTATTTCACCAGATGACCAGTGATGTAGACCATTTGCATATGGTTTCTTGGAAGAGTACACCTTGGACAGAACCCCAGACAAAACACTCAACAACCAGGATAGAGTCTAGACTCTTCTAAGCTCACATGTAGAGTCAGTTAATGTCCATGGAAAGGGAAACCTCTGCCTCCAGAGGGGTAAGAGTGAACTTTTCAGCCTTTTTAAGTCAATACAGAAACTAGGTCTCTCGGCCAATGCTGAGAATTGATGGGACCTTTATAGAATAATTTTTCAGATGAGTGCATTTACTCAGTGAGTATGGTTTCTCCCACTTGGCTTTTTATTCCCCTGACATATCAAGGACAAGAGTCTATACACGATTGCATCTCCACCAGATGAAAGAGGTAAATTCCCCCTCGCAAGGTGAGTGAACGTCCCTGGCAAAATCTCTTCCACATCTCCCTCAGCCCCACAAGGTGTGGACCTGAGGATTTCTTTTCATGTTTTAAAAACAGAACAGTAAGCCAAGGGGTTGCCTATTTGAGTTTTTAAGAACAAAATGTAAAAACTGCAGCTTTAAAAGTCATCTGACTGATCCGGCCAGTGTGCCTCAGTGGTTGAGCGTCAACCCATGCACCAAGAGGTCGCCGGTTCAATTCCCAGTCAGGAGACATGCTCAAGTTGTGGGCCCAATCCCCAGTGGGGGCATGCAGGAGGCAGTCAGTTGGTGTTCTCTCTTATAGATGTTTCTATCTCTCTCTCCCTCTCTCTAAAAGCAATAAAAGAAAATAATTTTTTAAAAAAGTCATCTGACTGGTATTTAGTGTCTAAATGAGGTACTCTCCTTGAAAAATGTAGAAACATACTGGATTTTATTTCTCCCAGTTCCATGATTCATAATCTAACTGTATGATTTAAATAATGACACGGCACCCTTAAACATGTACTGCTTTTGCTAATGTCAGGATGGCTTGAATCTCTACCAGCAATAAGTAATTCTTGCAACAAAACAAAAAGTACAGCATGCTGGGATAATGCAGAAGTGACAGAAGATTGGCCTGGGGTTAGACCAGCATTTATCGACCTCAGCACTTCTGACATTTTGAACTGGACAATTCTCTGTTTGGGGGGAGGAAACTGTCCCAGGGCTTGTCAGATGCTCAGCAGCCCTGACCTCTACCCAATAGCATCTCTACACATTGCAATTGTCCTCTGGTGAGCAAAATCACCCCAGGTTAGATGATTCCTGTTCTAGCCTTAACACTGTGTCTCAACTTCCTTCAAGGCCTGGGCTAACTTACCTAACTCTCTAAGCCCACTTCATTACCTACAAATGAGTGAATTGAAATAATTCCTCAAACCGTTTTCAGCTCTAAAAATGTGTGATGTCTTCTACATATATCTATTTAGAAAACCATCTCATGTTAAATATTTCTTTTCTCTTAAAGTCCTTGTTCATTGATTTAGGAAAAACATACCCTAGATGTGTCCATAATGGACAATCCAGAATACTAGACAAAGGTTCTGCCTCCAAATAATGTTGCGAGTCAAACTTCAATTCACACAGTGTCAGAAGAAAAGGTTAGGCCAATAACAGAAATGTGAAACCCAGTGAGTGGTAGGTAAGACAATAGGGGGTGGTGGGACTTGTGGCTAACTGGAGAGACGGGGCTTGCCTAAAACACAAAGCCCATGTGCTGGCCTTTCATGGCCCTGAATGGTTTTATAATTTCATTCCGACTCAACCACTATCTGCTGCTTTCCTTTCCCAGGAGAGGGTATGAGAGGGTGATAACAGATAACTGACCAGGAATGGAATAAAATAAATGAAGCCAATTCTAAAGTCTCACCTCAATTTCTTCTTTCAGAAACATTTAGTCCCATTTTTTAAGATCCACCTTTCATCATAAAATTCTGATGTGTTTGTGTGTTGGGGGGGAGGGTACAGAGTCTAGAAAAGAAAACTTGAATTTCTTTTTTTTCTGAAGTAAAGATTGTATGCTTAGATGAAACCCCCAAAATATTTTTAAAAGTTAGGTTGAACTGAAGAAAAATGCAAACAGTTACAACTTCTAAGACCTTTCCCTATAAGTTGAAGAAAACAACCCCAAGGGGAAGTCTGAGTTCTGCGGGACCAGAGGCACACCAGGCCTGGCCTGGCCTCTTTCCTATGATGTTGCCTGGATACAAAATACTGTGCGTCTGGGAAATGATGACTTGGCCTCCTCCTCAGGGCATAAGAACAGTTCGGTCGGACCACAAGCCAATTTCCTTTAAAGGAGATGACAGTAAACCAATAACTTTTTTTCTTTCATATTACTAACACTATAAATATGTTAAAATGTGACAGTAATGGGGAAACACTGCCCTGTACTTTCATGGAAAAATAAGAGTCTCCCCATGGACTCCACCCACCACTAAAACAGACGGACCATGTCTCGAAAGGAAACTCCACAGTGAAAGAATCTCAAGGCCCTTTGGCTCTCCAGCTTTACTTGTGGAATTAATAAAATGCAGACGTATTCTGACACGAAGACAAAGCCAGACCTGCTCCCGTTCCATCAGTGTCCATGCGGTTTCAAGTTGGGGCTCCCTGTGACGTCCAACTAGCTCTAAGCAGCGGGAGTAACGACTTAAAGATTAGCTGTTATGATTCAGGGAACAAAAGAGT